AAAGCACTTCCAAGTGTTGTGCATGTGTGTCTGACACACTGATGTGGCAGCCAGTTTGCACACAGCAATGTCCCACAAACATCCATGAAGTGAGTGACCAATTTTATCTGGGGGATTTGCTGACAGGACACTGGGAGAAACTCTTCCCTTTTGGAAAAGAGCCATGGGAAGGGTGGGTGGGGTCTTTAACGTGTATTAAACAGGCAGACGGAGCCTCAGTTTCACCGTCAACAGAAGGATGGCACTTCCCAGCGCTTTTCATGTACTGTAAAAGAAACACCTTGTTGTGTTTTACAGAATGAGATTAATTAGAAATGAAGGCCATGTTGTTATGGGAACAGACAAACACAGAGGTCAAATTGTTCCAGCGATCGCTTACACACAACGAGGTGAAATTTGGTGGATGAATCTGGACAGGAGTGGGGGCAGGGGGTTAGCAAGTATAGCCAAGGTAACTGGGAGGAAAACACTACTTTGTTTGAAATAGTGGTAGGTCACTACAGGGGTTGCTACAAAATTGTTGGTAGAAATATGGTTGCTTTCAGCACTCTGGGTCGCTACCCTGCACAAGGGGAGCTATATAAATGCAAGTTGTTGTTGTTGACTACTTGCCTTTCAACAATAAAAAAAAGAAAAAAACAGGCGGTACAGACACGATGGGCTGAAAATATCACGTGTTTTACATGGTGTCACTGAATCAGTGACAGCGGTCGTTAAAATTAAATGGACATATCTCTGAGACAGTCATTTATTGACCAGCTTGCTGGTCGCACGTACAAGGCAGACAAAGGGAAATTCAAGAGTCTGTGGGCATCCTGAGATTGACAGTGAGCTCTTCCGAGACCGTGAATGGGCCGGAACAACAATGTATTCTGCTTAGTCAAATGGAGTTTAAATATTTGGCAAAGGAAGTGGACATTCCGACTGTGTAAATCTAAGACATTGAGAGCTTGTTTTTCTAATGCTGGGGTTTGTTTTGCAATTTTTTATTTCTTCGAGGACAGTACACTGGTTGATACAGAAATGAAGGGTTGATTGCATCAGAGGGGCTTCCTCGCGGTCACTGTTTTATTATCCGTGGAAAACCCTGATTTCATTTGGATGGTGGAGAGAACCAAGTAGAAATTTAACCACAAGCTAAAATCCCAAAACAAAATCCATCTTTAACGCATCAACTTCACTCGCTGCATGGCTGTTTGCAGGAGATCGCTGTGAGCAAACCGGCTGTTGTGTTCACTTAAGAATACACAATCGCGACACTTCACGGTAAAATCCTGCAAAACGCTTTTGAGACGTCTTGACGACATGATGAAGTGCTGTATCAAATGCAGAGATTATTATTATCATCTAGTTTACGCTAGGACTCAGTTGATAAAGATGGCAAATGTGAAATGTGGGAATTGAAACAACACAAACAGACTGAACTTTTGAATCCTGGATCTAAACATGATGATGATGCACGTTATGCTGGGAGAGGGAAGCTGGGTGGCCTTGGGGTGGGGGGGAGGAGGTTGCTATACATTCCATGCATTGGAAGCCCAGACAATTACACTTCACTGAACAAGATCGTCCAAATTTCCCCGTATTGTAGTCGGTTAAATGTTATCAAAACAAAGGAGAGTGCCATGAATCAAAGCCGCTGGGCTGGCTGCCTGCCAAATTCCAGCAAGCCGTTCCCCTCCTCTCCCTGTGATGCAACTTAAGTACTGGGATTCTGGGAAGGATGGGCTATGGTAAAGGTGAGAATGTGTATATTGTACGGCCAAGGAGCTAAACACACTTCAACATGAAGGTTAATATCTTTTTAATGGCTGCTGAATTGCTTTCCGAGATATCGGGACAGGGTGATATTAATTTGTTGGCCACAGAACGCATTAAGCATTACCGCTAGGAACAGTCTGAGGCCATGCACGTACCCCATCTGGCTGTTCATGTTACACGAAGGCTTGGTTTCACGCATTCCGCAGTCATTGCTATGTTAGTGTCCATATATAAACGGTGGAGAGAAGATGGAATGGGGGTGGTCGTGGAGGGAGGGGAGAGTGAATACTACATGAATTTGACCTTTAGTAGTCAGAGTCAATGTTAAATGCTTCACATTTTTAATAAATCGGCGATTACCATACTAATTAGTCTTTCTACTTTGGCATTATATTTATTATACAGTAATAACAGATCTGATATTAGGTTTATTACATTGTTCAGTAACCTGGGGGAGTATCAGCTGATGGGCTCTGTGTACAAAATAACAACTGCAAGATGCTCCCAAAATGGGCAGAGATCTCAGGTCATCAGCAGTGGGAGTGATGTGTGATTAAAGCACGCAGGATGCATGCACTCTTGTGACCAATCTGCATTAACCAACTGTTGCCACAAGGGGGCAGAGCGGTTTGCTTCAGTGAATGAAAAGCTTTTGCATAGAAAAGCTCAGCCCAACCTAGTAGCAGCAGGAGATTTTTTTTAAAAAAGCCAGACAATGCAGCCTTCTTGCATGCAGAAAGATGCAGCTAGCACAGAGGAGAATGAAGTAAACGCCCCCCAATTGGCTCAGACTTAATTCTTCGCCCCCCCCCCGGCTGATAATAAGTGATGTGCTTTTTTTTATTCAACGCGGCACTTCTCTCGGTCGTGGGTTTTCCATGCACACCCATTGTTACAAGGTTTTTGTACCAAACAGAATGATGCAGCAGCCAATAAAATAAACCGCCCATGAGCTTGCCAGGTTTCTATAGAACAAAGCTGCCGCTAATAGAAGATCAGCAGCAGCCCAGCCCTCCACAGTCAGGTTGCTCTCCAAGCTGTGCTCAGAGAGAGCATTACTCATGGCCAGCAACAGCATGTGATGTGTATGTCCACAAGCAAAGCTGACCTCATGGCAGGTCAATGAAGTGAGCGAGTTTCAGTCAACTCTTCCACTCCACATATTTATTGCACTGTGCTGCTGGTTTTTTTTTTAAAAAACAAAAGCTATGTACAGTATTTTTGGAATTACATTTTTATGGAAACAATTTCAGAAACGCTGGGGTGCTGGGGCAAGCTTCCATGGGGCACTGGTTACAATCTGGTAACTTGCTCAAGTGACTACTCTTAATAATCAATGAACATGGGTTATTGCAATTGTGGAACACCACAGATGAGCCTGATCCTGAAGCCCACACATGTTCCAACAGCAATGATTAAAGGGGAAACTCAGACTGATATTTTGTTCCCCAGGTCAGAGGTCCTGAACCCAATATTGCACTCTCCCTGCTTCACTTTCTCACCCAACTTTCTGGGTCTGCATGGCTCAATAATAATAAAAATAATACTAACTCTTCTATTTGGTATAGCACCTCATCACATCATTGAGACGTCTCAAAGCACTTGACAGGATATACTTTAATGCAGATTGACCATGATTTTGTGGGCGAAGCGTGGCAACAACAACAAATTACATTTGTACAGCGCCTTGGACCGGCTGCTCAGGCTATGTGATTGCAAGTTTGGGACTCCAGCACAGCTGGACTCCATGATAAAGTGGAGGGCAGACCGAAAACAAATACTAAATAATTCCAGTATGGAAAGACATTGGGGAGTAAAAGTAAAACAAAATGAGCTGTAACTTCCCACCCCCTCATTAATTTATTTGGAGGGAGAAGAGTCTGATATTCAAAATGCCCTAAAAACAGTTATCAGCACTAATCGTTTCAACACTGTATAAAATATTCAAGAGTGGAACCTTAATTAATTTCTTTAATGCACGTATATATGCAGTGCCGACTGCAATCCTTTTAAATATTTACAAGTACCGCACAATCCCTGAGTCCACTCATTAATAGTGAACTACACGGAGACCTTTTTCAGTGGTAATGCCATAATGATGCTAGCAGGCTAAATGGGTTTTAATTTGCCTCCCAAAAGCAATAAAGTTCCAAACTCATTTGTTTGTAAACCATACAGAAAGGGTCCAAGAAAACTGAAGCTGCTGTAGCTGTCATTAAATAGCACGGGGACATTTTCACAAGTATTAAACCTGTGTTCAGTATAAAGAGTGATTTGCAGTATCGTTCAACAAAGTCTCAGTGGATTCTAAAACATGATACAGAATTTGCAAACCCATTCACAAACAGTGCTTTAAGACACAGCTCGTGGCTATGGTTGGTAACCGGAAGTAATAATACTAATAATCCTTACAATTGATATAGTGCCTTTCATGTCTCAATGTACCTCGCAGGATAAACTGCAAAGTGTTCTTACTGTGTATTTTGCAGGTGAACTCCTACCAGGGGGAACTCTACTCCCACATTATCTTATTCCGGAGTATCTTATTCCGGATGCTGCACGTCCGGTTATGGGCAGCATAGTCACGATTTGCAGCCCGGAGATGCTCTTTGTGAATGGGTTTGTTAAAGAAGCCAAGCCTGACTGTCACCAATGAAATATCCCAACTCCAAGCTCGATCTAAAGGGAAGCCCTTCGTAAGAAGCAACAGTGAGCAAAGTGCTTCCTTTACCCACTCCTTCCTCCATGGGGAACACTGTTAAATAATTGGGGAAATACTGCCCATAATGGAGGGTAACAGGATAGGCTCCGGGAGGCTAGCCTGCATGAAGGGCACTATATATAAATGCAAGTTGGTGTTGTTGGCTTGGGCACCACACAGAACAGGCACATGGTCAGCATTTAAGTCAGAATCACAAGAGGGGTAAAGAGGTTATGCAACAATGAGCCATGATGACTGGGGGTCAATGGCCTGGCTGGTGCACTTCAGCTGGAGAGTTGCAAATGGGCTCACCTAAAGGAAAGCAACATGCAATAATAATCCTTGCATTTCATACAGCGCCTTATCACATCGTCGAGACGTCTCAAAGTGCTTCACAGAATGTATCGTAAAGTGGATTGACTGTGTATTTTGTGAGCGAGAAACGATGACGAGATGTTAACTTTTATCACGAGGGAATGATAGAAGCCACGTGTAAAAGCAAGAGTGAGAATCTACCCGGGAGAAGAAATTGACTCACCGTCAAGCAGCCCATCAGACTCTGCTCGAAAGGACGCTGAAATGCACGAGGGTCACCACACCAGTCAAGGAGCTCGGTGGCGGCAGTCTGGAAATTCGCAGGGTTCTGTAAGTGCTGGAGAGAGAAAAAAGAATCAGCAGTGCACCTTAATGGATAAAACTTCAAACATAAAAAGAACACTTGTTTGCACCAGGGCTCGAAGCTGATTGAAATCAATAAAGGAGTCTGTCTGAAAACTTCTAAGGTGCCTCACATGTTCTGTTGGAAGTCTAACTCCCCACATGTGGTTCCAGCCTCTCAGGGAAACCATCAGATTTCCAGTATGTTAGAACTCAAGAGTCTCGGTTTCCTGGTGTAAGTGGAATCATCACATTTTAAAATGCACTCATTGGCATCTGTCGAGCATCTCACTTGGGTGTGACTGGGCGGAATCTCTCCAGTGAGTTTCTGGCGAAGAAATAAATATTTGACCGAAGCAACAATTCAGATTCATAGCCAGAATTCAAGAATTCAGAATCCATTTGGAGCTTGTTACTTGAAGGACCTTATACAAACGTCAACTACCAATTTGGCTCAGAACCTGTTTATTGGGTTTCATCTGTAGGACATCACAGAGCCTTGTGGGCAGCAGCTTTCCCTCCTACAATAAAAGTGGAACGGTCTCATACTGCATTCTGCCAAGCGAACATCTTAGCTTAGAATAAGATTGATGTGGAATAGCTGACAATTTGAAGGACAAGTCCAAAGGTCAGGTTTATCAATTTTTCATTACATTCTTCAGTAGAGAAATACAGTCGAGGTCAAAATGCATTGAAAGAGGTTATGTGACATCATAACCTCTTTGACCTTTGGTCTATTTCTCTGTCAATGGCATAACTGCAAGAAATCGAAATGGCCTCTGAATCAACAGGTCAAAGAGAAATGAGAGATCAGAATGGTCATGATGTGTTGCTCCATTCAAGAAACAGGGGAAATCTCTTGTCATTACATCGCAACTACAGTTAGGCACATATGCACAGTTTTGTAAAGTTAAAGATAAGGTGAATATTAGAGGCCAGAAATTTTGCCTGATCTTAGCTGTAACAACAGTCTTAAAATGTAAGATTTTGCAGAATTTTGCAAAATCGTTCTGAATTTGGAAGCAGTTTTTCTGTGGGAGTGTGGGCTGGTTTTTCTGTAGGCCACCAGGGCTGTGACGAACAATGCACCTTGAGATTCCTGTGGTCATGGGCAATGGGATGGATACCTGTTATCTGATTCACCTGCCAGGTGACAAGATATTAGCACAGAAATTATTTCATCAGTGAGTAAAGGGAAAAAGGAAGTTTGTTAACGCTCAAGTGAATGCAGACTGACAGCACAACAGGCCAGGGTCAACACATCACAGGCATTTTACCATGCTTCACCTCAGTCAATAATCAATCTCAGAATTATCCCATTATAAGATTAAAAACTAGAAAACAGTTCTAAAGTGTCGTATATATAAACTTACCTGCAGGGCATAGGGAATTTAAAGAAGTGAATATCTCCCAGTGTCTTGAACAACAATCCCCCAAATAAAATTAGTCAATCGCTTTATGACTCACTGTCATATGTGACATTGCTGTGCACAGATTTGCTGCCACATTCACCTACAAATGTACAGTCACTACACATTACAGTAAATCCTGTGAAATGCTTTGAGTCATTCTTCTGGCCTGAAGGGTTCTACATCAAATGCAGGGATTATTGTTATTATTACAATTCCCTGATGTAAAATCCTGATGCCAGCAAGGAACATACCGTTCTGTACAGGTGAACTGAGAGACAGATTTTCTCATATTTGTTGATTATTAGAATGAAAATTCTCCATTCATGAGTCTGAGAACACAGCGCTCCTTAGAAAAGGGAAAAGAAATCAATTATTTCACTCACTTAAACTCAGTGTTGAAAACTGAAGCTCAGATTGAAAACCTTTTACATCTGACAGATTTTCCATTGGAATTAGAAAGATTCAGACTCAAATGGGTCTATTAAATAATAATCCTTGCATCTAGTATGTCACCTTTCAAGTCAGGAGGGTATCTCAAAGCGCTTCACAAAATACACTGTAAAGTGTAGTGACTGTGTATTTGTAGGCAAACGCGCCAACCCATTTGCGCACTACAATGTCCCACGAACAGTCATGACTTGAGTGATCAATTTTGGCTGGAGAAATGTGGGCAGGACACTGCGAGAAACCCCCTTCTCTATTATGGTCCATCCTTGCTGGCAGCTGTTTTATGTGCTATGTACAAGCCACGTGTAAAGAGGAAATTGCAGGTGTTCCTTCTTATTTATGCAACCGACAACCAACAAAAAGGATTTTTAGTTATGTCACTACCCACCAAATCTTTTCATTTGGTGCCAGAAAAACATCCTTTTTTAAATGATTCATCCATTTTGATGCACTTTCCTGCTCCATTCATCCTCCACTCTGCTCATTGTAGGTCACACACTCACTCCCTTGCAGTTGATACAACCCAGGGCACTATTTGACAAACAACCACCCTCACTTTCATCTCACCATCATCAGGCTCCGTGACCTCCAAGCTAAGGTTACTGCATTCCTGCTGAACCTAATCCTCACTACACCTGATCTTTTGTTGCTTCTGAGAACTGATAAGGAAGGGTCTGGAGATAGAAAACAAAATATACACCACAAATGCCCCTCCATACAATACTCTCCCTCTACAGATGGAAGGGAAATCTCAATGTGGATCAGTTACTTGGTTAAAAAAAACACTTCTGCCTAAGTTTCCCAGTGCCTTAAAGAGATGAGCTATGTTACAGGTTTAATGATAAAAATCTAAATGAAAAAAAATCAATTTGCAGCCATCTGTTCGGATTTATTTGACTCAATCTTAAACGTAGGCTGAAATTGACGCCAGCTGCTTTCAGAATTCAGCAACGGTATTGATTTACAGAGCTACAAATAAAGTGATACCAGCTCAGTTATTAAAGCAGCTTATTGTTATTAATAATAAGGTGGCAGCACCTCTAAGAATGCAGATGTCCCTCAGTCCATCAATTACACTGTTCACACCTGTATGCAAACCTCTTAAAGCCTCTACAGATTCATGATTGTTTTTATTGGAATTAGAAAGATTCAGACTCAAACTGGTCTGTTATGTACATGTAATATACAGGCAATGTGAAAAAAAGTGAATTACACTTGCCCTTATTTATGTATAAAAGACTTGAACTGGCAACCTTCAATCTGGTAACCTTCAACCTACTACCAGTTGTGCCCAACTGACACATGACCAGTTTTAATGGTGACATTACAGCCAACAGCTGATCTTGCCTTTCTGCTCATGTGCAGAATTCTCCACAGCCAATGCAACTGGGAGCAGAATGTATACATCAGGCTTCTTAACCCAAATGCAGCAGTATACATGTGGCACATTCAACAGCAGCAGTTAAGTTATATCCCCACTGTTAAAACTCTCCTCCCTTCTCCTCATTTTTTTAAACCAAGCCCTTGTATGGGATGTGGAACAGGTGGCTGAATGTGCATCACAAGGCAATCACAAGGCTGTTACAAAACGAAAACTATTTCAGGGTCTTCCATTTAATTATTTAAACATCTGCACTGAACATGCCAAACTTTGCTTCCAATTGTCCTACAGTTATCTCTTAAAGGCAGAGAGCAGCACAAAGCAATTCCGGATTATCTGCTCATTTCAGTTATCCACAATTCCCTCCCTCTCCGAGATGGTCGATAACTAAGGCTCCATTGCGGTGTAGCCCTTAACTCTGACAAGTGATCACAATACGTTTGTGGATTGTGACCATTGTGGTCCTCTGTAAGTGACATTCACTGTCTGACCACATGACAGGAGCCGTATACTACAGCAGCTACGAAGAAGTCCTCAAGTATGAGAGTGGCCAGTGGCTTTAGCATGTCTTTGCTGTGTCAGTACTGGCTAATTACCTAACTATTATGTAGCCAAGTAAAAGTTTTACAAACACAATGAGCGTCTGTAGCCGCGAATACAGTACACAAGCAATTAGGCTTTTGTCTGTCACCCAACAATCATTGCGTCTCTGAAAATAAACTAATGCAGCGTAGGGGAGTTATAATTAATACAACACGCGTGTTTCCAGTGCGAGGATTTAAACTGAAGCTGGCATTTCTAATTAAAAATTACACATTGTGCCAATTTGTTTAATATTTTAAATTACATTAACTTGTTTGGATTAGGGAAGAGGGGGGTGTGGGGGGAGAGGATGAGGTGGGGGGGATACAAGCTCAGTATTACTGAAGTCTAATCAACGGCGTCAGAGAGTTACAGGGCTTGATTTGGGTGGTATAATCGGAGTCGCGCGCACTGCATTTAGAACGCCAGTGATGTCTGCTGCTGTGCTCACATCGCAACACCTGAGATAAGTGGGAAAACTACTAGCTTCACACTAAAAAAAAACGGATTTGCATTAAATGCACTTTCATGATCTCCAATGGCGACAGTTTAAATAGATTAAATAAACAATTTCTTCCTGAATCTCACGCTGCGTTGAGCTGTTGGCTTTCGTCGTCGGCTGCGCACCCCTCCTCCCGGTCGCTTTCGCAGGCTGCTGCATCTCAGCAGGGCTGAGGCTGTTTCAGGAACAGATTCCCCCCTTGGGGACCCAGCGAAAATTAATGTCAGCTGGCTGCCTCCTCCACAGCAATGACATAGTGGGGCTTCTGTGGCCCAGCTAATTCCTTTGGATAAGTCGAGCGCAAATGAAATCAACCATTTCAGAGCATCTCTGTATAAAAAGGTTTAGAATTATCCCCGCATACATAGGCACAGGCACACATGCACATATACACATGCACAGAGGCTAAACACACACACACACAGGCTAAATACACGCACACACAGGCAACACACACACTCACACACAGAGGCTAAACACACACACAAACAGACTAACACACATGTACATCCACATACAGGCAGTCAGCATTGCACATGCCAGTAGCATGCAGACGCACAGGCAAACACACACACAGTGGCAACACACACACAGGGAGAGGTAGAACACACTCACTCACTCGCTTACTCACTCACTCATACACACACAGGCAGAATACATACACATAGAACACATAAACAGACACGCGTGCATGTGCAGATTCCTTGCTGAAGAAGTGATCTGTTTAAAGGAACACTCGCTCAGATATCAGCTCAGTCCCGATCTTCTCAACATGGTTTGTGAGCAAATGAATAAGGAGAACATGTCGTAGAGGCGCTGCAATTAAGAGGCTATCACTGCATAATATTAAACACACTGATTCCCACTTTAACCAGGAACAGTGATATCTGGAGCTGTAGTCCTGCAGAGCAGAGCCTAAGACAAGAAAAATACACTGGCGCACTGTTCAGACCAACACACTAGTCAAGCTTGTTTCATGGCCAACAGGTTACCAAATATAGATGTGTTAAATAAGAACGTGGCATTCGCTCAGCTCACTGGTGAAGACTTCCAAATGCAATGTATTGTGTGAGGCCAGAAGAGGGATTGGTAGCTTCTCTTCTCTCTAGCTACATAACTCCCAATTCATTCTAACCCCCCATGCCGTGCCATGCCACACCATGCTGCATTTAGCACAGAACTAATCTTGATATAGTGAAGGGTTGGCCTGGGCCAATGCAGGTACATTTTAAGAGGATCAGCACAATACAATTTACAGTTATACAGTGCCTTTCACATCAATGGCATCAGTGATTTCTGGGCTGGATTAGGAAAAAAGTGCTAGCCAGTGATCCCGCTTCTGAACACCAGTCAGTCATCGGCTGCTGGAAACCGAGGCAAAGAGGAATCAGACTCGGCTGGGGCTCCCCTCAGTGGTCAAATCCTTTCGTCACTGCTCACTGCTCACCCTCAATGTTCACACATGGACATTGTTAATGGTCAGGGTTCACACAGGGACAATGATCACTTGGGTAAGGTGCCAGAGAGCAGAGAGTAGCTGGTTGTCTTTGGTTCCTAATGCCAGCAAGAGTCATTGCCTTGAAGGCACAACAGCTAAAAGGAGAGAAAGGACACAAGCAAATAAAACATAGGGAGGGGAGGCGAGTGGAGAGAAGGGAGAGATGAAAAGGGGAAGGGAGAGGAGGGAAGAGAGAGGGGAGGAGGAGAGGAGAGGTTCAAGGTTATTCATGGACAACAACATCCTGGACTACAAGGAGGCTCTTGACTAAAGAGTAACCAACCATTCAAGTGTAAAGATGTGTGCTAATGCCCTGTGTATTGAATCCTAAAACGATCTTCACACCTGTTATTAATCTGCGTTTAATGAGAATGAATCTGGAGCAGCCAAATGCACGGACACATGTCTGAGGATGGCAATCATACCTGTTTGATACACTGCAGGCGATCGTTCGTCTGCTGAATGTGTCTGTCCATGGAGGTTACTGTGTTCATCTTTGTCGTCTCTTCCCAGCTTCTACCTGAAAGCCATTAAACTTTCCCAGTCTGTAAGGAAAACACAAAACCAAATCATTGATCAGAGGGGGTTGGACGTTTCGCCAATCAGCTTAGAAGATCACAGATGGCACAGAGTTATTTATCTTCTCAAGTGACAGGGATCACAGGTACTGAGCACACAAGCTACTCTTGTGCATTCCAGCGCCATGTGTGTCACCTACCAACACCTAACCGGGAGCACATACCCCTGCTGTCATCTGGGGGAAAGCAACTGCAGGGAACCAGCATAAAAAGGCAGAATGTGGTTAACTGGTGCTGAAGTCTTTTAAAATGTAAAAACACTGAATCCAGAGGCATGTGTGCACTGAATTCAATACTTCTGTGTGTCTGAGCTACAGAACAGACCATGCAGTGTGTACGAACAGTGTCTGAGCTCCACAACACATGCAGTTATGTGGACCTCAATAATTCAAAACTCCCCCAGAACATCCAACAACGGCAACCACAAATTGCATTGCAGGTGTGAGTGCAATGACCGAGGGTAGAGATCACATTAGAAATTCCAATTGTAATAGTCCCCTCAGTTGTTCAATGGGTAAAGGCACTGGGGTGCAGTGACGGGCAGCAGTGGCAATCACCATACTTTACTGTATGTATATCCCGAGACATGAGACATCGCTTTGAGACATCTTTCCACCATGAGAGGTAGTATCTAATGTAAGGAATTATTATTATGATTATTATTATTTGGGTGACTGATAGGCTCCTATTTGTATCCAGAGAACCCTGCTGGAAAGTGCATGTATGGGGGGGCCATCAGATACAAATGAAACAGGCCTTTGGTCCTGGTTAAGTATCAGCTGCCTGATGCCACAGAGACCCTTTTGTCAGTGTAACCACAACGTACAGCACGGAACAATGACTCAGAGGCACTGCAGGGCCGGTCACATTACAACTTTGCATGTTTCAAACGATTTTCATACGATCTGTAAAATTGTAATAAAACGTTCCACCAATTGCTTCTGTATTAAATTTACAAACCCGCTGCCTTTATTCCTGACCCAAATGGCAACAAAAGCAGCGTCTAATTTGGGTGCCCACGGGCAGGCAGGCAGGTGAATTTGCTCCATTGATGAGGGCGATTTTATTCAGTCAAATTCAATGAGAATTAGAACCATCTGTGTAAACCATGTTTAAACAAAGAGCCATCAAAGGCACAATCTTTAGAACCCAGCTCGCTTGACATGTTTCTCTGTAGTGAGAAAAGCAGCTTTGCCTGGATATTTCTTCACCTATGGGGTGAAACTCTTCTGATCTCTTTCTGTCACTGACCTCGGCAGGGCGCGGGGACAATGAATGGATTTCACGATTTTAATGACCTGCTGAAAGGTCGGTAACTTAAGTAAGAAATTTCTCCCCCTATTACTGGGAACACATTGATTTCAGGGAACGCCAATTTCTCACAGATTTTAGAACAAAAACAACGGTACTTGCACAGCTCAGTACATGGACAGTTACAGCTTGAGGCAGCCCACCTGTTAGGGCTTTGCGCTTGCAGGTCAGAGAGTACGTTTCCACCTCCAAGTCTCGTGAGGAGTGGAACAGACTGAGCTGGACGACCAGCAATAACAACTTGACTTCAGAACTGCCAGGCATGTTTACTTTCAGCCACATCAACACAAGGGCCACGCTGCTTACCGTTCTCCCACCCCACCTCCCTATCACCATCTTCACCTCCCTGAATGAGGATAGTTTTTAAGACACAGTGTTTATATCATTAACCTCAACAGAATGAAGGCCTGGGTGGACCCACGAGGATTTGAATTCACTGCCTTCTGGTCCCAAGCCGATTGCAGGATATAAACCTGAGATTTTGGCATCTTAACTGAAACATAATTAAACTTTTAAAGTAGCTTAAAATAATTCATGACAATTGTATTCAGCAGTAGAATACTAGCTGAATCCCCTAGTCCATCTATTTTAGCACCGTGACCTCATTCTGAACAAGTACTGGGGATCGAACGACAAACCTTTCCGCAGTCTGTAAGCACAATGGGCTATGTAGTTACCAAGTGAGTCATCGGGGGAAGTCTCATGGTTACTTTCAACTGTAGTTGTCTTTTCTGTGTAGTTATTTTGCTGTTGACTACCAGCACAAACCATTCCACTGGCAACAGTTTAAAAGTAATCCCAGCACGTATAGGATGGCAAGCCATTTGGAGCCTTCTAAATAAATACCAAAGGTATCTTAAATGCAGTTGGTACTAGGCTAGGAGATGCATTTGTTGAAAAACATTTCTTCGAAGCCCTCAGAATATGTAAGCAATCTCCCGACAAAGAGAAGGAAGCGTGCGATTGAATGAATGCCTCTGCTTTTCCTCTTCATCTCCACACGTCTACTTCTTGGTGAACAGAAGAGTGCACTGAGCACAATGGCAGACTTCATGGAGCACTGCTTGGGCAGACCTCTGAGACGTCTCTGTTCACTGGATAAAGCTGGGCTTTGTCTCTGTCCCGATTACAAGAAAGCAACGTGTAAACAGGCATTTCCGGAGCCCTCTGAACGCCCCCTCCCCATTCCAGACACTCATGCCTCAACAATAACACGTTTTCATGGCCAAACAAGCAAATCAGAACCTGCGTCAGTTTCCCAGTCTCTCAACAAGTAGTGTACTCAGCTCCTGAATGAGCATTCACACGACAGGGATTTTTACAGAGGGCCAAGTGCGCGACCCGCAGTTTCAGTCAGTGACTTTACATTTGACCCGCCATTCTCATGCTAATAAAGTCTGTCCCCAAGTCTAACCTGGACAAAAGGCACGACATGCTGAAATATTCGGTGGAAGCTTTTCTTTCGTTGCTGTTACCCCAGTTCATTACAAGAAAGGAAAATCTGTGATTTCTAAAAGTTTGAGGAAAAGATGGATCCCATTTCTGGAAAAATGTGTTGGGAGTAAAGAAGCCCTCTGTGTCCGTTCTGTCTCCCTGATCTCAGCTGTTCATCCAGAGAAGGTGACCGACTCATACATATATCACACACCGTATACACTACACCCACACATGCACACAAACAAACACACACACATACATACATACATACACACACACACAGACCCACAGAAAGGAAAGAACGCAAAAAGGCCCAAAGTCCCCTCCACACCTGCGATGTGCTCAGTCAATGGGACTCGTACGTTACCCACATTATGTGGATAACATGGAGCTCTTACCCATTTCCCACGTTGTGTGCTAATCTTTCAGCACAAATTAATAAACTAAAAAGTAAACTGTGTGGAGCAGCATCCATTACAGAGCTCAATCCATGCACCCGTTCACACACCAATACACAGATTAGGTTACTGCCCTATTTATTCTTGTGAGTTTCAACAGAGCCCTCTCTCCTTACGTCAGCAGTCTAAAGTCATGTCTCCCACCGCAGGCTCTTTTTACACAAAAAACACCCATGAAATTGACTTAAAGATCGCCCTTTTATCACAGATACTTAATTGCTGTATATTAAATTTGATAGCCTTGAAAGACAAGCACAAATCACAATGTAAACAATGTAATCTTTCGAGGTTTGCAACTTAAATGACTGAACCAGGCGAAATTTGGGAAATAAATGGTGCCGTCCTAAAGGTCTCCAAATTAATTGCAGATGACTGAATGAAAGATTGTTAATTAAAATTTAAACAGATTAATTAAATTTATGAATATTCTCCCACCGCTTCCCACTGTCTTGCTCACAAAGATTGTTAAAGGGGGTTGTGTCGTCTGGTGAGGAACAGGACCAGCTCAGATGGCGATTAGTAGTATTCAAAACTGGCCCAATATAAAATCGGTGTCACCATGCTTTGCACAACTGGGGATTTTTCTGGCAGTCACAATAGTGTATTTTATTAAAAATAATTCACAGAGTCTAGGCTGACACTCCAGTGCAGTGTTGGGTGTGCATTGTATTGTTCGGATCCTGTCATTTGTTTGAGACTTTAATCCAAGGTCCCGATGTTAAAGGCACCCTATCAAGGCATTATTTGAGAAGAGAGTTTCTCTCTGTATCCTGACTGACAACCCCCCAAATTAATATTGAACATTCACTTGGTTGCTGTTTGTGAGACATTGATGTGCATACATTGGCTGTGACATTTTGCCTACAAAATACACAGTCCTCTAAAACACTTTGAGATGTCCTCCCCATGTGAAAGGCGTTGTAACAAATGCAAGTGCTGACATTTTGAGTAGTTCCCATTTTTATTTTGTAAAATTCTTAAGTGCAGTATGAGAATGTGGTGAGTTCCCCAAACAGGAGCAGAGGGCAAGAGCTGCACCTGAATAATATCATGACATAATATTATTGTCTTTATGTATTTTAGGAAGCTAACATCCATTCATATGTAAAGTGGCAATGTTTTTGGTCTGGCTGACCCATCACTGAAAACCCATAATTTAAAAATTACTTCTGCAGATAATAATTATTATAATAATAATGACAATAATTATTATTAGAACACTACTAATAATTATTGTCATTATTATTGTTATTATTATTTGCAAGCAGCTTCACTTCTGCTACCATGAATTAGTGAGTTAGGTGACCGTCAAAGGCAGAGGAAGGCACACTGAGCAAAGGAACTGGTTCAACCACCAGAGCCAGAAATCACATTGGGTATTTTTGTTTGCTAATCGTAGGCTGCCACCAGCCTTACCAAGAGTGGCTGAAGCAGAGCCCGGAATGTATGCCACCCACCTGATTCTGGAAAAAGCTAAGAAAGGATATTAAGAGGTAAAAATGAGGAGAGCGATTTGTCAGAAAACAGAAACGACCACCTCAAAGAACTCTTACAAACAACAGACAACTTGCTAGTCTTGGTGAGAACCGAGCACCCGATTTACTAGGTCAGTTCTAAATGGGCAGGCATACTGGCTATCAGGTGTCCATTGATGTTCTGTTAATGCAGAGGATCACAAGTGCTATTTCTCCACACACAAGGCCTTGCCTCCCTCTGCTCCAGCTGGGCTGTGAGGTGACTCAGGAAGTCTCGCAAAGAAAT